AAGGGGGAATCGATTGCAAGCATCTGGGATTTGCCTCCTCCCTGGGGGAGGGACAGCAGAGAAGAGGGCAGGGGGAGACGTCGGACAGTGTAACTTATGACAAAACTATAATAAGTTGTGAATTATGAAGGGTTCATGAGGAAGGGGGAGTGGGGAGGGAGGGGGAAAATGAGCAACTGATAGATATTAAGGGATGAGGTGGAGGGCAAATGTTCTGAGAATGATGAGGGCAGCAAATGTACATATGTGCTTGACACAATGGATGTATGTATGGATTGTGATGAGAATTGTATGAGCCCCCAATAAAATAATTAAAAAAAACATTATTGATAATTTATATTTCAGTACCTGCTATTTTCTACGCAGAAATTATCTTTTCCCTGGATGGAGGTGTCTCTTACAAGCACTTTCAAGCAATTTGAAAGCAAAGCCATCAACACAAAGGATGACATCGAGAAAGAAGTCTACTTAATTAGAAAAGCTGAAAATGCCTACAAAAATATGCCTATGTAATAAAAGGACAGTGATACCCTCAGACATACTTGCTTGATGCCTACAAATCTAATCATAATAGTCAGATGGGGATTTTTTTAATTGGTGGGGCTAATTTACAAAAGAAAAAGTTATTAAAAATCAGTTATAGAGGACTCATCTTGTAAAAAAAATGATTATAATAGCTACAGCTATTCTGTGGTCTTAAGAAACATATGTCTAGTGTGATCATTTTCTAGAAAAATAAGTTCTAGTGTGCGTAGCACCTGAAAATAGGCAATCCTACTGTGCTTCTTGAGCATGAGTGATGGTGATGGCTGCGCCACCATAAAGCAAACCTGTAGGACCTGAGTCCATTCTGACTCAGAGCCGCCTCGCGGGACAGAGAAGCATCACATCATCTGTCACATCTTTCTCCTGAGGAGCAGTTGGGGTGGGGATGGGGGGCTTGAACCGCCAACCTTTTGGTTAGCACCATTGTGTAACATGGTGAACATAATTAATATCACTAAAGCCTACAGGTAAAAGGTGTTAAAATGGTGAAATATTCATGGCTTTTTCTTCTTCATCTTCTTTTGCATATCTATGTTTCCCTAAATTTTCTAGTCAACATGTATAATTTTTTTTTTACAATGAAATGTACAGCTTTAAAAAATGAACAAGAGTTTTATCTTTGGTATTTGAGATTTTCCCAGCTCAGATATTAAATGGGACTATAATGGATAATGACCCATAAAACATATTTGGAGTCCTTCAAGTCCTGGAGAAAAAGCATAATTAAAAGAAGAAAAGAGGGGGCAAGTTTCCATAGGACCCCAGGATCACACTATACATAAAGAACATGTTTATAATCACAAGAAAGTGGAAGTAACCTAAATATCCATCCATGGAAGAATGGATAAATAAACTAGTACATCCACACAATGGAATACTGCGCATTGTGAAAGAATAATGATGAAACATCTCATGACGTGGGTGGATTTGGAGGGCATTGTGCTGAGTGAAGTTAGTAAATTACAAAAGGAAAAATATTGTATGAGACCACTGTTATTTAAGAAAAATCAAGATAAAAGTTTTCAGATCAAAATAAACAGACTTTGATGGTTACCAGTGGAGGGGGTGGTGGAGGGATGACGGTTTGGAACATGGAAAGCCATTGGGGGTGGAGGTGGGGGGTAGAAAATTGTGCTTATATATACTTATTAAATTAACTGGGGTGATAAAGTGTAATTATATAGAAAATATATATATATATATGTATATATACACCAAACCAAACTCACTGCCATTGAGTTGATTCCAACTCATGGAGACAGGTTAGAACTGCCCCTGTGCGTTTCTCAGACTGTAACTCTTTATGGCAGTAGAAAGTCCCATCTTTCTCCCACAGAGTGGCTGGTGTTTTTGAACTGTTCACCTTGGGGTTAGTAATCCAACATGTAACCCACTATGCCACCAGAGCTTGTCCATGTATATAGCACACTTATAAAATAATGAAATTTTATCAACAGTTTGTAGGTTCACACTTACTTTACTGCCCTATCTCTATATTTTCAGATATAGGTGCTGTAATAGATTATTATTCAAATATTTTAAAATCAAATGAACAGTATTCATAATTCTGACTGCTCAGGGGAAGCACCGTAAACACCCAGGGCTAAACAGAGGCACATCTATGACTGTTCAGTAGGAAATTCATTAACGATTTGATGATTTTTTAAAAAACAGGGGCCAAGTTAGTACAACTGGGAGAGTTTTATTTGTTTTCATTCAACAGCACTGTCAACTTCAGGTGACTCAAACCAAAAAAAGCAAAAAGCAAACTCATTGCCATGAGGTCGATTCTGAAGGGACCAGATCAAATGCAGGGATGCACATGGTAGACAA